AGCCATCACTGAAGCTGACCTAGAGATGGTCCAGCATCCGCATAATGATGCCTTGGTAGTGTCCCTCCAGGTTGGGGAGTGCCAAGTGAAACGCATCCTAATAGATCAAGGCAGCTCTTGTGACATCATGTACGTTAGATGTTACAAGGAGCTAGGCCTTCATCTAGACGACATGGAGCAATCGAACGGCCCGATGGTCGGCTTCAATGGAACGCTGACGTGGCCACTGGGTGCAACAAGCTTGGAAGTACAAGCTGACACCAAGAAGATTAGGACAGAATTCATGGTGATTGACACACCTTCACCATACAACATCATCTTGGGAAGACCATGGTTGCATGCAATGGGGGCAGTTCCCTCAACATTGCATCAACTACTGCGGTTCCCAACAGAGCATGGGATTGAAGAAGTCAGAGGAGATCAACTGCAGGCAAAAAGTTGCTCCATGGCAGCAATGAAGTCTACTTGCAGCGTTCGAGAGCCAAAAGAGGCAAAAATTGAATATGAGGACGTGGAAGTACTAGAAGATGTCGGCAAAGAACCAGCTGAGAAGAGCGAAGAGGCGCTAAAGAAAATCCTAGTCTAGGATGGAGATGAAGAACGCTTCTTTCTTCTCGGCTCGGGCTTAGCCGAAGAAGAGGAAAAAGAGTTGGAGACTTTTTTAAGAGCCAACATTGAGGTGTTCACCTGGACACCTTACGAAATGCCTGGCATTGACCCCGAGATCACTTGCCATAGACTGAATGTCGACAGGTCGGTAAAACCTGTGATTCAACGAGCCAGAAGACCGACATTGATACATGTCGAAGCAGTAGAAGAAGAAGTGGACAGACTTCTGGAGGCTAGGGCCATCCAAGAAGTTCATTACCCGACATGGCTATCCAACATAGTAGTGGTAAAGAAGAAGAACGGTAAATGGCGGGTCTACGTAGATTTTACAAGCCTGAACAAAGCTTGTCCCAAAGACTGCTTTCCTCTACCCAAGATTGACCAGTTGGTAGACGCCACATCTGGACATGGAAGGATGAGCTTCCTGGACGCTTACAGAGGATACCACCAGATAGCCATGTACCCTCCAGACGAAGAGAAGACAGCGTTTATCACCCCGAAAGGACTGTATTATTACAAGGTAATGCCTTCTAGGTTGAAAAACGCAGGAGCAACTTACCAAAGGCTGGTAACCAAAATGTTCAAACACCTGATTGGCCAAACAGTAGAAGTCTACATCGATGACATGGTCGTGAAGACCAAGGAGCCTAAAAGTCATCTTGCCAACCTAAAAAAGGTATTCAAGATCCTCAAAACATATCGGCTCTGACTCAACGCATCAAAGTGCGCATTTGGAGTTGGATCTGGTAAATTTCTGGGGTACCTGGTAACAAGGAATGGCATAGAGGCCAGCCCAAATCAGATCAAGGCCATCCTAGACCTACAGAACCCAACATCGGCAAAACAGGTACAAATGCTTACTGGAAGGGCCGCAACCCTAAACAGGTTCATAAGCCGAAGCTCAGACAAATGTAAACCCTTCTTCAACCTGGTGAAGAAGACCACGGACTTCCTATGGACTGAGGAATGTGAGGCCGCTTTGGCTGACCTAAAGAAATATCTAACCACGGCTCCGATCCTCTCGACACCTGAACCTGGGGAAGAGCTGTTTTTGTACTTAGCTGTGTCAGAACACGCAGTAAGTGCAGTACTAATCCGAGAAGAACAAGGAGAACAAAAGGCTGTTTATTATGTAAGTAAAACCTTGGCCGACGCAGAAACAAGGTATCTGCCACTAGAGAAATTAATTCTGGCCTCAAAAAAATTGAACCATTACTTTCAGGCGCACAAGATTGTAGTGCTCACAGAGCACCCACTAAAGTCCCTGTTGCAACAAGGAGACTTAACAGGAAGAATCGCAAGATGGGCAGTTGCCTTGGGCCAGTATGACTTGGAGTTCAGGCCCAGAACAGCAATAAAGGGCCATGTTTTGGCCGACTTCGTGGCAGAATTCACGCCTGAAACCATCGAACATCGGGCTCTGTTGAGCCAGGATGAGCATTGTCCCAACAAGCAAGGAGAATCCCAGCCTAAGGCAAAAGAGCAAAGGCAGGAAACACTCAGACCCTGCAACATCTACATCGGTGACTCATTCAGACTGTTTGTCGATGGAAGTTCGAACCGACAAGGAGCGGGGGCAGGAGTACTGCTGATATCTCCAGATGGAGAAATAATATAACAGTCCATCCATTTAGGGTTCAAGGCCTCAAACAATGAAGCGGAATACGAAGCATTAATTGCAGGGCTAAAACTGACAGTAGCAGTAGAAGCAGATGAGGTAATAGTTTTTGTGATTCACAGCTTATTGTTAAACAGTCAACAGGAAAATTTGCAGCCAGAGACGAAAGGATGTCGGCATATGCAAAAGAGGTCATCAGATTGGCAGCCCTATTTCAGAACTGTCGACTACTCCAAGTTAGCCGAGATGACAACACCCACGCCGACGCGTTGGCTAACCTGGCAAGTTCAATACAGACTGGAAAAATAAGGACAATTATGATCGACTATATGTCAGGCCCGAGCATAGAACCACAGAGCACAGAGCAGGAAGCAATGTGTATGGACATGGGGCCAAGCTGGATAGATGCAATTGTTGCATTCTTAAAAGAAGGAAAGCTGCCAGAAGATCGTAAGGAGGCACACAAAGTCAGATTGAAATCAGCAAGATTCAGTCTGACAGCAGATGGACACCTCTACAGAAGGTCCTTCACTGGACCCCTTTTAAGGTGCGTACACCCTTTTCCGGTTGAAGAATTCCTATATGAAGTGCATGGAGGAATTTGTGGAAGCCATGCTGGGGGCAGATCATTAGCCCACAGGGCCATTACCCAGGGGATATTGGTGGCCCTACATGCAAAAGGATGCTGAAGCCTACGTGAAGAAGTGTGAACAATGCCAAAGGTTTGCACCTTTGATACATCAGCCAGCTGCTGACCTAAACCCAGTATCCAGCCCTTGGCCGTTTGCCCAATGGGGCATGGATCTTGTTGGGCAACTTCCTCAGGTAACTAGGCAGAGAAAATACTTACTGGTAGCAACAGATTACTTCACGAAGTGGATAGAGACAGAACCTCTTGCCAAAATCCGAGATATGGACGTTAAAAACTTTATATAGAGAAACATCATCACTAGATTTGGGATTCCAAGAGCAATAGTTGCCGACAACGGAACACAGTTTGACAGCAAACTCATCAAGAACTTTTGTGCGAAATTCAAGATCAAGAATTACTTTTCAACACCAAGTTTTTCCCAAAGTAATGGGCAAGCAAAAGCATCCAACAAAGTAATTTTGGATGGGATAAAGAAGAGGCTGCAGGCAGCAAAAGGAAAGTGGGTGGACGAGTTGCCCAATGTACTCTGGGCATACCAGACTACGCTGAGAAGATCAACAGGGGAAACCCCCTTTGCCATGGCTTATGGCACAGAAGCAATCATCCCACTGGAGATCGGCATCCCAGGGATCAGAACCGAAGGAGTAGAGAATGGCACAAATGATATATTTCTAGCCCGAGATCAAGATCTCTTAGAGGAAAGAAGGGAGAAAGCTGCAATTCAGCTCGCAGCATACTAGCAGCAACTCGCTAGAGCTTACAACAAGAAGGTCAATCCAAGAGATTTTCAAGTCGACGACCTAGTCTTGAGAAAAGTCGTCGGCAACAAGAAGGATCCCAGAGAGGGCAAGCTTGGCCCAAACTGGGAAGGACCCTACAAAATTACTTCGGTATTAGGCAATGGAGCTTATCGGCTTGAAGATAGCGAGGGCAAAGCACTGCCAAGACCTTGGAACACTTGTAATTTGAAATTTTTCTATCATTAGATGTGCATTATTTTTGGCCGAGGTCATCAATAAAATCTTTTCCCTTTTCTTTAAACACATATGATTGATAAAGTTACATATTGGTGTTTTTGGAGACATGAATAATGAGAACCCAAGTAGAACTCAGGTTCACATTAGGGGCAGAGAGAAAACAGAGACACTTAATTCACTTGTTGAAATTTGTAGCAATTTACAAGTTGAAGTTAAGTCGAGATGGTTCCTTATCTTCACTTGTTGAAATTTGTAGCAATTTACAAGTTGAAGTTAAACTGAGATTATTCCTTATCTTCACTTGTTGAAATTTGTAGCAATTTACAAGTTGAAGTTAAGTTAAGATTATTGTTTCTCTTCGCTTATTTAAATTCGTAGCAATTTACAAGTTGAAGCAAAGCCGAGGTTATTGCTAAACACTTGTAGCAATCTACAGGTTGGTTAAACCAAAGAAGATGCTTAATACTTGTTGAAATTTGTAGCAATTTACAAGATAACGTTAAGCCGGCATACGATCATCTGTTGAAATTTGCAGCAATTTACAGGTTGAGGAAAAAGCTAAGTATGTTGTTTAAACACTTGTTGAAATTCGTAGCAATTTACAAATAGATTATTGTTTCACTTGTTGATCCCTGTTACAGTATATGTTAATCCTTGTTGAAATTTGTAGCAATTTACAAGTGGGCTAGACCGAGATCACCGTTTAAACACTTGTTGAAACTTGAGAAAAAGTTTGCAAAGTTAACATTGAGTAGTAATTGTTTCATACTTGTTAGAATTTATGAAAAGTTTGCAGGTCAGTATCTTGCCGAAGTAAAAGTTTTGTAGCTATTATACCCGAGGTATGTAACCTCGAGAAGATTGCACAAAGGAGGCAAAGTATGAAAGACCTACAAAAAATTCTAAATATAGAATCAAACAAAGGCAGTCAAAGAAAAGGCAAAAAAGAATGCAGTCATTCAAAGAAAGATAGTTATGTTAAAATATCCAACACAAACAGAAGGCACATCGGCCGTACAGAGAAGCTTCTACTATCCAGGAAACAAAAAGTACAAAAGACAAGAAAAGAGGGACATCAAAATTATGATTCTTCTACTTCAGGCGCAATTTGAGACTGGACCTTGGCCGATTCTTAGAGAGCTACCTCGGCTGATTCCTGGAGAGCTACTTCGGTAGTCTTTTCCGCCTCGATTTCGGCGTCAATCTGCGCAAGGGTTTCATCAAGACTTTTTTCGGCTAGAGGAACGTCAGATGAGGCCTGTTCAGGAGTAGTTTCCTTGGCAACTGCATCACCATCATCATCTTGAGTCAGGTCCAAGACCTGCTCATTCAGAGAAGGAGACTTAGGCCCAACAGCCTCCTTGGATTTCCTTACTAAAGCCTCATCCTCACCTTCCTCCTCATCTTCAGACTCAGATTCTTCTTCAGCTTGAGTTGGAGGTGGAGGAGGAGGAGAGAATGGGAGAGGAATAGCTTCGGCCTTGCGCAGAGGTGAATCTTCAGGAATATTGAGCTTTTTGGCCAGGGACATCCAACCAAGGGAAAAGCCCCTGTTGCATGCCTCGCCTAACTTGTAATTTGTACATCCTCTGTAACATCGGCATTCTTTGGGTCATAGGCTTTTCCGTCGGCCGCTTTGATCTCAGCGTCTTTAGTGCAGGCTCCGAAATTCCTTTTCGCTTGGCCTTTGCGCATCTCGCTCTCTCTTCACGGCCATCGAGGCACACCTCTTGATGGTCAGCCGATTCAAGCTTATTCTCGGCTAGGGTTGCGGACTTCGGTGGCAGCTTCGCCTGTTTCAGTTTTTTCATTTTTGATTGAAGAGTTTTGTTCTCCTTTTTAAGGGCAGAAACCTCCCTCTTCATGTCGGCCAACTTTGCCCTGTTTTCAAAAGCTTGCATAGAGAGAGAGTGGGCATGTTGAATGGCCTGAAAGAGCACAGGGCAAAAATTACTACAAAATTTTACAAAGTAAAAGAGAAGACAAGTTTCCATGTAAAGACACTTACTTGGACAGAACGTTGGAGCATAAAGGCATAGTTCTCATATTTACTCATCTTGGCATTCCGCTCAAGATCACCTGGGAGAAGTAGGGCGGTACTAAGTGCTACGCTGACATTAATGTCGTCGGCACTATCGCTGGCAAGAACAGGCTTATCTTCTAAAGTAATTTCAGGCGTCCAGGGGACTTTTGGTATTCTGGACCCCGAGGTCATCGTAGAAGATGACCTCGGCTTCTTTGATTGTGTGGACTCTGATGGCTGTGTCTCAGCAGACCTTTGTTTGGAAACGGAAGCCGTCTTCTCACTCCCTGCCAATTGTGAAATTGTCAGGGTATCCTCAGCCTCAACTTCAGTGGCTTTAGCCTTTGGTTGGGCTTTCTTGGTTCGTTTCGGCTTTGGTGGGGGCATGGTTTGCGTCGGCTGAGCATCGATGTCAACATGGAGATCGGCAAGGAGGTCTTGAGCAATGGGCTTTGGGCGACCCATCTCAGCAGTTTTGACAAGTCTTCGCCGACGTTTTCGTTCTTGTATTGGGACCAAGTATGGGGCCGAAGTAGATGGTTGATTGGTTGGGTCAGATGTTGACTCTTGATCTGTTCGTGATGTAGAGGCGGTTTGAGTTGTGGCAGTAGGAGGAGAAAAGCTTTTCTTCTTTCTTTTGGGGACGTCGGGCAAAATCGATTTGTATGTAGGAATAAAGTTGAGAAGAAGAGGTGCTTTTCTTTTGTGAACTGGCAAGTCCAGGAGTTTTTTCAGGTCCTTACTGGGAACGTAAGATTGGCGGAAATTTTTCCCTGGCTTGTGAACATCTGCAAGAAGAAACAGACATTAAAAACAGATAAAATATTGAAGACTTGAACAGAAACAACTAAGTATTGGCACTGGGTTCTTACCCTTGCCGTCTTTAACTGATCGGGGAAGAGGATAGAGATGGGCATCTTCGTCTGCGCCAAACTCCCAATTTCCCGAAGCAATAACATAATCATCTCCAGCCCCCTTGTTGGAGTCTAGGAGGTCGGCTATGATTTTGAATTCTGTAGACTTCGGCTTAAGAAAATAAACGAAGTCTTTTTCTTTCAAGTTAAGGGCACACATGGTGTAACAATACTGTATGTCGGCTAAGGTGATCCTAACGTTTTCCTGTTTAGCTAAGGCGATAATACCAAAAATCACTCGATAAGAGTTTATTGCCAGTTGCATGGGGTTCAACTTATAATAATGAAGAATCTTGTGAAAAAGGATGTTGAGTGGAAGCCGGAGTTCGCACTCAGTAAAAGCTACAATGGGAAGGGGCATGGCATTTTCTGTAGGCATGATGGAGTCGTCATCCCCAGCCAGTCTCAGGTGGACATCGGCAGGGATGGAGAACTCTTGCCTAAAGTACTCAAGTTTGGTCGGGGTATCTACCCTGTGCCTCCACATACCCATAACGTCGGCCTAAAATCAGAGGGCTAGGTTTCAGAAAGAAGATGCTCTTAAGGGGTTATCAGGACCTCGGCAAAACCCTAGGTATATGCTGGTAAGGATTGTTTCAGTTTTTTTCCTAAGAATTGATAGGTTCTATAGACAAATTCCAAACCTAAATCTATAAAGGCAAAAATTGAAAGCAAAAATTGAAGGCAGAGATCTGGAAAACAACACAGGAAACAAGAAACCAGAACGCAGTTTCAGAATAAAGAACAGAAGTGGGGTTCTCAAAAGCATAAGCAAAAAACAAAATCAACGCATTCAGATGTATGATCTACAAATTGATTACTTAAGTAAAGCAGTAGTAAACAAGAAATTCCAGGAAAGATCAAGAACTGGAATAGAAAGAAACAGATGCTTACCAGAAAAAGGGAGGCTGGAAAGGGATTTCCCGATGTCCCATGACGGTTGCAAGAGTAGAAGACCAGTGGAAATCTTGCCGGAAGGGGTGAACGAAGAAGGATGCAGAGCTTTAGAAGCTTGAGCAATGGTGGATTTGAAAGAAAGAGTTTTAGAGAGAGAAAAAAGTAAGAGAACTCAGATGCAAAAGTGAAAAGACGAAAGAAAGGGGGAAAGATTTTGTCAAAAAATGAAAACGGCGGCAAAAGCAATCAATACGCCTAAAAAAGCGCATACGTCAGACGGCGCATGTGAAGAAGGGATGACTTATGGGCGCGTCACAGGCACGAGCCAGTAAGAAGGAAGCGCGTGTCTAAAACGGTTGAATTGAAGTGCATGACAGCTCATGCGCATAAAAAGTTCCTTAAAAATCTTTGATTTTTTAGGGAAAACATGTTGGCCAGAAATGAATGATCTCGGCTGTCAAATCTTAAGCCGATTTACTGGAAGAAAATACAGATATAGGTTCCATCACCTCAGAATGCGGAGGTAATAGAACCTAGGGGGCAGTTGTGGGGATGTATTTTCTGAATACTAACACGTGGCAAGGTGACGCTGACGTGTCAGTCGAAGTGCCACGTGTCCTGGTTGTGACGCCGAGGTTATCTCGGCGAAGCCGAGGTTATCTCCGAAGATGTCGAAATCCGAGATAAGCGGATAATGGATAGAGTCCTAGAGTAAAGAGAAGACTTAGCTAAGATAAGGATAACACTCTTAGGGAGTTTATCCTTATCTCTTGAGGAATCCAAAGTAAGCACTGAATTAGAGTCCATAGAAGTCAGGCTTCTAGTGGGACTTGGATTGAGTAAACTATAAAAGAGAGGCACCCCCATGGGTCTAAGGTACGCAGTTTTATGCTTTGAGTAGTGAGTTTAGCACTTGATTATCTTTGAGAGATATACTGACTTGATCGTCGGAGTGCCCCCGGGTGGAAGAGCCACTGCCGGAGCCTTTTTCTTTCTGTTACAGGTTTGTTGAAGCCATCTATTCTGCCGGTGCTCTCCAGCTGATTACTAGGCGAGCAGTGTGGTCAGAAAATCACTCACACACTTGCATATCATGAACAGTGGTTTGAGAATTTGACTCTCTTTGAGAATGTAATATTGTGAATGAAACCATGGAGGAATGCTATGAGTTATCATGTATTGCATCGTATTCTCATTTAATTTATCATCATTATTGCACTTCTTGCAATGAATTGGAAAACGTTTACTTGAGAAAGATCCTGTTGTGATGAGAACTATGGAATTGGTTATGGGGTAAATATGTTGGTAAGTCCGGCTAGGTGGTGCAGATGAATTTGATAAGTTGGCCTGAGTGTTCATGGTGGAAGACCAGAAACCCGCGCGGATAGGTATCGAGTCTTCCGGCTAATATTGGTAAAAATGACAGTTTGGTAGTACTCGTAGAGTCTACTTGTAGACACCAGTCTAGGGATTACCAGAGTCGTATTTACCGCCTCTTATGATTAAAACTGGATGTTTGGAAATTGACGAGATTGAAATTATGTTAATGAAACATGGTGATCTTCAAGAAAAGCATGGTATGTGATAATTTTGAAATGGCATTGCATGGTATTGCATTTGCATTTAACATTGGTTATATTACATAAATATATATACTTTGTTAAGAAATTCTCTTCTGGGCTTTATGCTCACCCCTATGGGACTTTGGTACAGGTAAAGATGTGGTGATCCCGTAGAACTGAGGGCGTGGATACTTTTGTGAAGAGTAAATGGCTCTCTTATTTTGTTGTAAATTTTGTAAAGCCAAAGGGCTAACGTGTATGGGTCCGAGAGACCACTTTGTGTAACCGGGCTATGGCCTTGGAACTTGTAAGCCCTTGAGGGCCATATTCGTTTTGATTCAATGATTTTTACATGCTATGGATTCATGTACTAGTTTGTCAATGAAGGAATAATCGTATGTGAGATTATTTTTGTAAAACATTTGGAATTATGTAAATGAACATGGTTAATATCTTATTCTGGAAATGGGTTGATGTAATAGTTATGTGGGATTATTTTCGGGGCGTTACAAATAAATTAATATCTGAATAATTGAATACTTTGCATGAATTATCTTTATTATGAGATTTTTTTTTTGTTAGTATTAATCGTTGTATTGTTTGATTTAGTAATGCCTAAAGATATTCATATTACATAATGAATCATTATTATTTATGTTTTGCTAAATTTTATATTATTAAATTTTATTGTGAAACACATTAAAGTGTTATTGTGATCTTTATAGTACTAAGCACATTGCTATCTATGGATCTAACTATAACCTCTAGTATGATGTTATTACCACTATATGATTTTTATAGGTGGTTTGATGAGGTACAAGAGTATATATTCTTATGTGACATAAAATATGAATTGTGTTAATATTTATTGTCTTAATATCATTCTTATGATTTAGTAATATGCATTATGATTATAATGATAAATAACTGTGAATAAATTATTATTTATTCAATAATGTCCACGCAAAGTTTTTATTTTGATTTGAAACCTAAATTATGATACGATTGGTACTTGCCAAAGTGACTCAATCAGAATGACACATAGATATCAAATCAAATAATTAAAATTTAATACCCTTCCCAGGTATTAAAATATAGTGACTTTGCAAATCCAAATTCTTTAATTACAAAGATATTAGGTTGTCCTAAAGGTGCACCACTTTCTAAATAATTGTTGAATTGGAATAAGATGATGGGTATTCATAATTAATATTGAAATGAATACCCAAAGGTAATGGACCTACTTGATTATGAATATTTTATCAACTACTTTTATTGGTGAAGGAGAATCTCCATAATTGTTAACTAGTATGTCATTAGATTATCCCAAAGGTAGATCACGGTGATACTATTTGTGATTGTTTAAACATGTGTTTATCTTGACTAATTGTCAATTATTGATTACTCTTAGCATTAATGTAGTGAGCATGCATTATTGATTAAAGTTTTATTTCCCTTTATTTGTATACTTTGTTTGTTTCAATTTTAAATGAAAAATGAATAGAGCAAGCTTAGTTTCATCTCGATATTTTGAATTTTGACTTAGTGTTACTATTTGAGAAATATATTGTTAAGGATCGAACAAATAAAGTTTTATGTTTTATGTGAATGATTATAGCAAACATTAAGTTTTAATTTCCTTAAACTAATAATGCTAAATAATGTGAATGAACGTTTTTGAACTGCTAATAAGTGTTTTTGCTAGGATACTTATGGTTACATTTACCATCATACAATTCGATGGTATGCATTAGATGTATGAGTATGTCATTGAATTGTCTAACTTGATTGCTGAATTAAAGAATTTTTATGAATGAATTTATTTTCGTGCGATTTATTTTGAACAATTTGTTTCTTTAGTATGGGTTATTCATATTAACTATAATTCTATGAATAGTAAGTACAAAGTTAATAAATTGATTAGTATATTTACTTAAGAAGAGACAAAACTTAAGTAATTGAGATATCATTTATTGATCTCGTAATTCAAGGAGCCGAAAAGAAAGGAAGAAAGCTTAGAAAATGGCATAAAGAAATATCTACTTAAAGAAAATGAGTCTGTTCAAAATTTTCAGTCTCATAAGAAAAAAAT